TGAGTATAGTATCACTTTTTCTTCCGTTACGAAGTGTATTTCAAAGTGAGTGGCGAGTTGGATCCTCGTGTGTGTTATACTTGAAATGACATCGCTTAGTATGTTGGGTTTTGGTTGTCCTACAAACTCGATAGGGCTAACCCATTGCCATTCAACCTGAGTACCTTGAATGTCAACTGGCATCCATGTCTCGTATAGTTCGAAGTCTGGATGAACTGGTAGTTCTAAAATTAGTGACTGATTTGCTTCAATCTCTCTTCCGGCTGAGAGTTTCTCGAGGTTAGACACTCGCTCGAAGTGTATAAGTTCGTTATTGTTCTCGACAACTCTGTATGTTTCCAGTTCAACCGGTTTTGCTCCGAGAATGTGGTGCGGAGACCAAAAATCTGGTTTAGGTCCGTTGGCGTGGTCCATGTCCACCCATCGGTTACCGCGTTCGTAGACAGTAACATAAGCCCACAATTCTCCTGCAACTGGTTCTTCTGTCCATTCATGTCCCTCCTGGGATGAGTTGGACGAATCGGATGACTCGTCATCCAAATTCTCTCGCGCAGATTCGTATTCTGCCTCGATCGGTTCAGCGTTGCTGTCTGATCGGTTGTCGTCGTATGGCCCCAAAATAGGGTTGCTTTCAACCTGGGTCCCATATCCACGAGCCTCAAGCTCCTCGTCGGTGAGCTCAATCACTTGTAATACTGCTACCTCTTGGCGGGTAGTAGCGTTAACTTGTTTCTTCCCGTTCCAGGTTTTGTTTGCTTTGTTCTTGCGGCACTCGTTTGCTCTATGACCGGACTGGCCACATGAGTAACAGAGGTTCTGCTCGCGTCGTCGGGTGCGTTCTTCCTGGGAAAGTCCTCCTTTCTGAGCGGGGGTCTTCTGAGTGGCGTTGACAGACTGGTTGTCTCTCTTCGGTTGCCACTTGTTGCTTCCCTTGTTCTTGTATTCCTTGTGAGGTGTGCTCTGCTTGAATTCCCATAGACGGTTGTCTAATTGAATCACAGCTTCAATCATGCTTGTGATGTTGTGGAAATTCATGTTTTGTTTTGCCATTTCCTCACGAAGGTGTACTTTCAACCCTCTGCGGAAAAGTTCCATAAGAGCGGTCGCGTCCCATCCTGACTTGTTTCCGTATCGTTGGAATTCATTAGCGTAATTGATTGCCGATCCGGTTTGGCGTAAATCCAACAGCTTCCGTACAGCTGTTCGGATGGCGTCAAAGTCTCCAAAGACTCGGCGGATTGATTGCTTGAATCCGTTCCATGATCTAAACATAACCTGGGTTGTGTCCATGGATCCATCCTCGTCTGGATGGCTGAAGAAGTCTTCAAGGTAGGGTTGGGCCCATTCCAATGCTGCTCCTCTGAGGTACGATATAGCGAAGATTGATCGTGAGTTGTAGTTGTCACGGAACTTCTCGACGTTGAAGTTAAAGTAGATGTCCATTTGGAGAAGGAACGAATCGAGTTCCGGTCGTTTCCCATGATAAGTATCTGGCATCTTGACTCTGATAGTCTCAAGCGCCTCAACCTTGTATGGTTCAGGGGCGTCTGGCATGTCGTCGTCGTCATCGTCATCGTCCGGGGCCTTGCTCTGACTGTTTGCAGGTGTCCCGGTTGGTGTGGCTACAGGAGCGCTCGCAGCGGTTCCTGAGCTAGCGGGGAGGTTGACTCGGCTAGCACTCGGGCTAGCAGCTGGGGCAGTTGGCTTGGGGGTTGCGGGAGCCATGGCGACTGAACTTCTAAGCGGGTGCTCAAAGTGTGACGAAACTCAAACTATCTAACAAAAGTAATCGTTCCGAAGGTTGGTATGCAGATAAGAAGATCAGATGCGCCGGGTTGTTTACTCGGAGGTAAACTCGTCACTTGTACAAAGTCGTCAAAGTCAAAAGGTATTGATAACTAAGTAAACTAAGTTGAGCACGAAGCTCCTATCTAATGGCAGACATGCCATCTTATATAGAACCTTCGTTCCCATGTGGATCTGAGGATCCCCCAGATCCCTTGTCTGGATCCTGGGATCCTCAAGATCCCAAGATCCATCACGTGACTACATACAATGAAATCCTTGGATGGAGCAGCAAGCCTGCCCCACCCTTCACTTGCTATAAGAGCCCAATGATAGTGCTTAACCTGTCAGGACGCCGCCTGGTCTTCACTCGTCACATGCTAACACGTGATTCGTGACAATACTATTAAAAGGTTAATAAAATATTAAATATTTAGATATTTATTTACCTAGTTACTTCGTACTCTATACTATAGTCTTATAAAGCCTCTCTATAAGTACTTTATATATATATCGACCAGAGTAGCGCTCTTTAAGTAGCCTTATAGTAAGTTGATAAGCTTTAAGCTTAAAGTTTCGATTAATAAAGTAGCTAAGGAGTTAGCTTATTTACTTTCTTAAGCGAGTATTAGAGAGCTTTAAAAGTACTTATATAGTAATTCTAAGGTACGTATCTTAACTAATAGAAGTCTATCTATCTAAAGTAAGACTAAAAGAGCTATTTACTAGCGCCTAGTCTCTTAATTATGTCTTAATTACTTCCTTTTCCTTAAGGTATAGAGAAGTAAGCTCGCTTTTAAGTATAACGTAATAGATAGCTAGGTAACTACTAAGTTAAGCTATTAGTACTTCTTCATAAGCTTAAGGAGCTTTACTCACTATCTAAGATACTCGGCTAATTCCTTAAAGGAGGGTGAGCAAACCGACTTAAAGCTAAGATTATTCCTTATTAAAAAGCTTAATAAAAGCTTCTTAAAAGTCTCTTCCTTAAACTTAGGGATAATTTAGCCTCTATTATTTCTTTGAGGTCCTAGGAATCGAGCTATACCCCTTGGTATAGTTTCTTTAGATAGATTCTCGGTTTTTATATAAATTAGTATTATAAATGTAAATATAAATAAAGAAACTTAGCCTACTACTCTCAGTTCCTTTAAGAACGCTATTAATCTGAAAAGCCTTGTAAGAGTTTCGAAAGTAGGCTATATAGTTACTACTTAATGCGCTAATACGCTACTTAAGCTAGTATTTACTATATAAATTAATTAGTTATTAGCTTATTAATAAAGAATATTAATTAAATGAGTAAGCTTACTAACAGCTAGTCACAAGGCACTTGACTATACAAGTACAAAGGACGTTAATATCCTTGTTAAGAGGGTTAAGCTCTCTCTTAATAAGCCCTCGCTTAAAAATAGCCGGTTGAGCCTCTAAAGGTAAAGTAAAGTTAAGAGTATTTTAAGCTCGAATAAGTACAAGGGTATTATTATAAGGTATTATTAACTTTAATTAGCTTAAATAGAGTTTATTTAAAGTAAAAAAGGTAAAGAATCGATTTTATTTATATTTTTAAGTAAATAAAATAAAAGTAAAGAGATAGAGAAAAATCGTGGAAAATCGAGCTCTTTTATATCTATTCTAGTTAGGATCACCTTTTTTTTAGTATTCCTATAATTAATTATTTAGTTAAAAGGTACAATAACTAATTATAGTATTATAGGCTAGCGTTTATTTATAAAAAGTAGGCATAACCGACTCTAAAAGCACTCGGTAATACCCTCGCTTATACTTAATATAAGAGGTTTCTGCTAAGTCTGAGTGCGGGGACCGCCCACCCGGAGGCCGGCTAGCGAGCCGGGCGCGCTACGGAGCATCGGGCCGACACTACTCGAGTTAAGTTAAATAGCGATATTCACTACTCGAGTTAAGTTGATTAGGTGCCACTACTCAACTCAACTACTCGAATTTACCACGTTGCTTACTTCCTTACTTCCTTACTTCCTCACCTCCTCACCTACTCACCTCCTTCTTTACTTCCTTACCCCCCCCTCTACTCTAACTAACCCCCTAATTTAAGAACCAAAGTAAATTAACTAATATCTTATATTAAAAATTTTTCTTCTTCTTCTTCCATTAAAGAAAAACAAGAGAAAAATCCAAAGTCTTTACTTAATCTAAATAAATAAACTAAAATAACCTTTTATAAATATCTTTATTTTATATATTCTTATTAAAATAATTTAAAAACAATACTATTAATACTATTCTACTAGAGAATATTAGTAAAAAATATTTGTTAGTCTAAATAAGATTCTACTTAATTCCAAATAAAAGTATAAAAAGATTCTCGCCTAACCCCTTTTTAAAAATTAGCGAAAGAAAGATTCTAAAATAAACTTAAGTAACTACTATCTTACTAATATCCTACCCTTCTCTTAAATAATAGTAGAAGACTAATTATAATAATTCCTTAATTCCTATTATATTCGTATAATCTTACTTAATCGAGAATAGTAATAGCTATCTACCTTCCTTTCTTATAACGAAGTACTCAGTAACTATTTACCTACCTACCTAACTACCTAACAAGCTCATAGTAACCCGCGCCCCCTTCCCCCCTAATCTACTTTAATCTAATCCAATCTAATCTAAATACTATACCCGACGTACTACACTATAGTAAAAACTATAGAGAATCCCATTCTATTCCATTTCATTACTATACCAAAATACCAAAAGGGCAAAGAAAAGAAAAAAGAAATAGAAAGAAGGAAAGAAGAAGGGTAATATAAGAGTTTAGAGAGATAAGAATATAGAAGATATATATTATATAGGGTCCTCTTTCTAAAGTATATAGTTACTAAGAAAGACAATTATTATTCCTATAACCTATATATACAAGGACTTTCCTAACCCTATATAGTACCTACTTCTATATTTATAGGAGGAAGGTAGGTAAGTAAGTGAGTAAGTGAGTGCGTGGGTGAATGAGTAGTCTAGACCCTGGTTAGGTAGATTGATATATGAAATTAGGTATTAACGTGATCACACCCCAAAAGCGAAGAAAAAAAAAGTCAACAAAAACACACACAAAGTACCGAGGCGTAGGATTAATTAAGAAGACTCGTTCTACATGCGAAAGCCCATCTATTACAAATAGAAATGAGCTCACTCACTCACTCACTACACATACGCTACCTATGCCATAATGGCCCAGCCCCGCCCACCGCCCAATATATATCCCCATAGAGATAGATGACATGCGATATAGGAAGATGCCAGCACACTACACCACTCCTAATATATATAAATATATATTTTAAGAAAGAAAAAAAGGAAAAAAAATGTGTGACGCAGTCCACCGATCCCGCGAGAGAGCAAAAAAATAAAGCAATCATTCCAAGCCCGTGGGTATCCCCCCGATTACTGTAAACAAAGAAAAAACCCCAAAGGAACAAATGAAAATATATATATATAAAAGAGGACGAACAAATGATCTACACAAGTTGCATTCCGTTGGCGACCGTCATTCGACTGAGACTCATAGTCCTATTATTGGCCGTGTTTTGATCGTCGTTCATTACGTCCCCAAAATGAAGATCCTGGAATTCTCGTTCTTCGTTGGGAGTTCGGAAATCATCATATCTGGCCTCCTCATCACTACTATCCTCTCCTTCAAAATTGGAAAAGCTACCACGCTGGCTTTGAATTATATGATTGCTGATTGCATGGTTTGCATTGGTTGTAGGATAGGCGGTCGAGGGTCTGATCATGCTGATTTCTTTTTGAAGATTTTGTACCACGGTTTCCAACTCACGACGAGCATTGTGCTCTGACATGATTAAATTTGTCAAAAAAGACAAATGTTCTTGTGTGAAACTTCCATCTTTGGATATCGTTGGAGAGTTACTCGAGATTCCTCGGATCGTAGTAGAAGTTGATAGCGGACGGACAGTTGCGTTTTGTGACGAAATGTTGGACGCATCAGTGCTCGGTAAGTTTGAAGTAGGATATGTCTCACGTGAAGGATGGTGATACGTATTAGTATCAATTGTGGGGGCCCTGCTACTCCCGTAAGATGAAGATCGATTTTGGCTCGTCGATTCTAGAGCTAGAGTTCGATGCCGCGGTTCGTGCTTTTGTTGGGAGGCTTCAGAAGTGCCAGTACGTGGCCGATATTTGCTGTTTCTTGGTGGGTCTTGAAGCTGCAGAGCGTCCGCCGATTGTTGGCGATGCAATCGTATTATTGCCTTTTCCATTTTTTGCACCTTGGATTCGAGTCTTTGAACTCTGGTCTCCAGGCTGGCAGCTTGAGTAATCTTCATTCCAGCCATCTCTCCCATTGGACCGAAATTGAAAGGTTGTGGTAGTTCTTGAGGTGTATAATCGTCCTTTTCAAATGGAGTATCATCTTTGTTCGAGGAAATTGGAGAGGTGACTCCTGGGTCATAACTTTCCCTCCAGTACCTGATTTCGTCACTTCGCCTTCTTCCAACATTTGCTCCTCTCAGTGCAGCAGCCCTGAGTTCGCCAACACTCCGAGATCGTCTATTGGGATGACTGCCGCTGGTCACTGCCATACCAATGGCGGCCTCCTCTTCCGCTGTGATGGTCCGACTTCCCCTAGCCTGACTACTTACAGGTCTGGGGGAAAGTCCTGTCCAATTCGCTGCAAATGGAGGAGGCCCTTGCGTCGGTGTCCACAGGCGGCTGGGAGTGGTCGCCCTACGCGGTCTGATCCTGCCATCCGCCTGTATGGAATCGCGATTGGTATCCGGCGTACCACGATGTGTAAAGTCGTCGGGGTCTACAAGCACAGAGTGCGACCGCAGCGCCCGGTTGTACTCATCGATGGGCAGGGAGGCAGAACGTTTTTGTTGGTTCATTGAATCCCTGGGAATATCGTGCGAGGCCGGCGGAACCTTTATCAAGTAAGCATTTTGCCATTCCCACTTTCTTACTTCAACTTACACTGCGATGCTGGTCTTCGCGGTCCGTGAAGGGACTTTCACTCAGTGTAACTGCAGTACTTTTGCGTTTCTTCCCAAATAATCGGCCAAAGACGGTTTTCAGAGAAGACTTTTTACGCTGTGGTACCACCATACTATCCTTTGACGGAGCCGTTGTCGTTGAATCTCGCAAGGTACTTGGTTGTTCAAGACTGGTGTGCATGGTAGACCCTTCCTCTACGGATGGAATTGGTGGTGGTGGTGGTGGTGGTGGTGGTGCAGAAGTGGGTGCTGCATCTGTTTGTACTATAAAGTCATCTACAGCAACCCCAGGCTGTTGATGAATTGTGTGTTCTTCTTCCATTGCCGGCGAAGGGGCCAGTTGCTGCTCCTGGCCATTGCCATCACTCAAGGGCAGTGCTCTTGGTGCCCCTGGAGCGCGAATGGGGAACTCCTCGTCATCCGTAATGGGAATTGGAGGTCCTATTCGCCCTCGTATTGAAGAACCTGTATTGGTCCGATTGGGACCGTCTGACTTCCATCTTCCAGAAGCTCGGAAGGGGCTCATGATGACGGGATTCGGGCGCGGGTGCGGGCGGGGGGTGGTTCTACCTCCTCCTCTCAACCCAGAAGGACTGTCGAAGCCGAATTGAATAGTTGGATCAAGAGATCGGCATCTGGATGTAACTTATGGCGACTTATGACTTGGTGCACAGGCTACGACGGGCTCTGCTATTAGTAACTACTCAGTAGTGTGGTGGAAATTGAAAAGATGTTGGAATGGAGCGGAGTGGTTTCCCCTCTGCAATGTTGGGATGGAATGTTCTACTCGAGTGTGGAGGATATGCGAATGGACATCAAGCTATTCTGGGATGCATACGGGGTTCAGAGGGACTCATAATGAAGAAGAGAAGGATAAGTGGGAGTGGGAGTGGGAGTGGGAAGCTCGACGGGATACGAGACGGGGGAGCTCGTCCATAAGAACAAGCGCATGTACTCCGTACTTGTAGGGAGCACTGGGGAGTATCAACTGTATCATATCCTGCGACAAAACCTGAACCTGAACCTGAACGCATCCATACCGCATCGCACCGCACCGCACCGTACGATAGCCCTCCTCGAGCCCTCGAGCTAGGATCGCTATTGTTGGTTACCTTCCGGGCGAGGGGCAGGGACGGGGACCAGGGGCCTTAAGCGACAGATTCAGGGTCAGGGCCTGAGGAACTTTCAACCTTCTCTTTCTGAGCATGGGGTATTAGGCCCCTGCCAATCTTTTCCATATCGGCATTTTGAAGCAGCGACTCCGTACTGAGTGGAGCTTTAGTGCTTCACAGCTACTCCGTACAAAGATCCCTCGTAGAAGTACAACTCCCATCGCTGCCACATTCGGATATTTATGGAATGCTGAAGCTGTTTCTCAACTCCATACTCGATGTCTCACTGGGACAAGCAGGAGCATTTTGGTCATATTTGATACCGAGTCCCTAAGTCTTGCTGCTTCACAGTAGCATTCGCTTGTTGCGGAGACTGCGTTGCAGTTGCACTGCAAGGGTCCAACCGATGAGGAGGCCAGAGGGAGGCCGAATGGGAATGCGAGTGGGGCATTGCGAATGTGACATGGAAGGACTAGTTTTCAGAGAACTCTCTCCTGCGTAAACACCAGAAAACATAGCGATAATTGGTACGTATCCGACTGGTATGTGGTGTGAATGTACGAAGTAAGTACGCCAGTGAGTAGCTGCAGTAGCTTCATTTCCCTCCACCTCCACCTCCAACGCCCTTCTGCTGCTTTGCAAGCTTCTGCAAGAATTGCTTGTCCACTTTTTCCGCTACTATTTCCGGTCCAGGTGCTAGTACATCTCATCACACTCCAGCAGACCCAAGCGTGCATCTTTGCTGTGCCTGTGGGCCTCTGAAACAAGATGAACAAGACAGGAGTGGGAGGCAACGCACAGAGAGGATGAACACCAATCCAATCCTCCGCCTTCCAGATTCCAAGCTCGACGACAACACCAAGGAATACCATACGATAGTCGACACTATAGTTAGCACTGTGCTTGCATCCTTGGGACATGATTTGACGATGTGCTGAATGATGGACCAGAGATCATGTTCGATCACGTTCGGGGAAGGGATGGCCCTGCCAGATCTTCTGCTACGATTCCCCAGACCTTTATGCCGTGGGCTAAGAGCCACAGGCTCACAGGGTCTCTCGTCGTTAAGCTCAATCGATGCCATCGAATCAGAGACCGTTGAGCCTCCTTTTTTTCCCGTCTTTTCTTTTACTCGGAACTTTCTTCCTTTGCCACACCATCAACCGTCATATGCGCGCACACAGCACACAGCACGCAGCTGCATCTCAAGAAAACATCGTGTCCACTCACTCCTCATCCCAAGGTCGAGGTTATTCGCAACCGTTAGAAGCGCCAATCGGCCAAAATGAGGGAGATTATTTTTTCATCGTCTTCTGCACCGCTCTGCATGCTGCACCCGAGGGCGGATGGTTGACGGCTCATGGATGGACTCAATGCAACTTGGGCTGTCTGGTGAAACGAGCCGCGAGAGTCAAGGAATCCAGAGTGGAAGTCCAAGCACAAGTCCAGTCAAGTCGATCGAGGCGCTTACTGACTCGATATCGTCTTCTCTACTCGCGTACGACGCGCATCTTCTTTGTTATCAATGTTTACTTTTGGTAACCACATTACGGCTACGTTACCTATTGCCAGCATTCTACTGGCCCTTTGTGCTCGATATTGGAGGAGGCGGCTGCATTTCAAAAACTCTGCTCATCACTCGCCAACATCGTCGCCCCCTCAGATTTGGCCCCTGTTCTGCACACGTAGGGGCTAATGTTGCTTTCTAACTGAAACGCCTTCCCTACCGTTCGTCATTCGTCTGACCATCCACAATCCTTGAACTCACGTGGGTTCAGGTAAGCCACTTTGGGTTTTCCTTCCGGAGACGAGAACATCATCTTTGTGATCCGGATCAACCTCCGAGTAACAAAATACAGCCTGCCCAACCATCTTTACTTGGAATTCAATTCTGCCACCGACGGATAACGTAAATCCGCATTCTCCTCCAAAAAGTCCATCCATCGCTTGAGGAATTTATTCTTTCTGAACCATCACATTTCGGTTAGCGTTTTGTCCTATACCGAATATGACCAAACTGGATTGTGATTGGTAAGTTTAAGGAGTGGTCTGAACTCACGACAAAGTTTCAGAATCACCAATAACCACGAGTTGTCTTCTGGGCCGTGTCATAGCCACTAAAAATATGAGAAACCTAGTGCAACATCGGGACAGATTTACAAACCATTCAAGCGCCGTTTCTCACCTAAAAACCCAACCTCCCGGTCAGAGTTGCTTCGGACTAGGCTGACAATAACGACCTGTTTGCAGATCGTTAGTGCGTCCCTCTCGTGTTTGGGGCAAGGCAGGCTGTTTTATGAACGCCACAGTTTTGAGGAGAGTTGTTTACGTACCTCTTTCTCGCGCCCTTGAAACCCGTCAACGCTTCCCAGTTCGATCCCAGGGAAGACCTCTTTCATGGCTCGTGCCATTAGTGCTACCTGCGACGGGTTGTCAACCTGAATGATCTGGTTCATCCGTGATGATAATTATTCCGAAGCTCGGTTGAATTTATGATATCTTGCCTCTTTTGAAGCGGTTGGATTTGTGATATCCTGCCCCTTTTGAAGCGGGTTAATTTGTACATCTAGAGGGGCTCAATTTATACCAAACGAAATATATTCACAAGTGTGATGTTTGCCGTCAAAGAATCTTCTCTACTCAACTCGTGCTCCCATTGGATACGAAGAGCGAATTATATGTGCAGCAAAACGAAGAAATGCACTCACCTGGGCATTATACGGCGTAATAACCGCAATATCCTCCGGATTCACCCCATCATCCACCAAATTCTCCACATGCTGCTTGACAAGAACCGCTTCCATCTCATTACTCTTGCTATCACCCATCAGACTCTTCCCAACTTTCTTCTTATCAACATCCTCTTCTTCGTTCTTTTCTGGAAAGTCTCCGCCTTGCGTATCGAAGAATATCAGGGGCTCAGCGGTATCCTCGGTTTCTTGTACTTCGTATGGAAGATCTTTGAGGAGTCTGCCTTTTACCGCGTCGGCTGCGATGAGTTTTGATTCGTAGAGTTCGTTGGATGGGAAGGTCATGATTTTTTCGTGCATGCGGTATTGGGTTGTTAGCATTCTCTGGGAATGTCGTTAGAGAAATGATCCAGATGTCGTTGGTATTTCAATATAGCAAGCAAGTATCTTCACTTGAAGTTTCATTTCTTTACATTGAACCCGAGAGAAGGGAGTATCAGGTTATACCCGAGAGTGGAGGTATCAAGCGAATGTAAAAGAAAGAGTACTTACCTTGATTTCCGGACCATGAAGTCCAAGTAGACGATCGAATAGAGTCTTCTCAAGAGTCATCCCCTTAATGATCCCCTCACCATCCGCATCTTTCGCTTTACTCTTACTCTTTGAATTCAGAGATTTGATGGTAGGCGGTAATTGCAAGTGATCACCAGCAAGAACCACCTTGCTAGCTCTCAAAAGGGGCACCCACTAGATGACGAGGTCAGCGACTGTAATTTTTCGCTTATGGGGGGAAGGATAAACATTCTTTTCACAGGAAAAGTGATTGAAGGGAAGAAAATAAATAGCAAGAAAGAAACATCAAAGCCAAAAACAACAGAACCTACACATTGCGCTTCCAGAGCTTGACTCGCTTCATCAATAATCACAACATCAAACCTCTCATCTCTCGTCTGAAACCCGCCAGCTCCATGGAGAGTGGCAAGCACAACTTTACTTCCTCCCACTAGGGTCCCAATACACTTCTTCTCGCGATCGCGAAACTCCTTTCGCAGTTCGCGGAGATCCATGTAAATGGCTTTTCGTTCGCGGCCGTTGAGAGTTTTCTTGATCGAGGCTTGTTTGGTGTCCATTTCTTTGCGGACGTCTTTGACGACTGGAAATCAAACCTGTCAGTTTTTGCGTGAGGGAAGTGGACATAGTGTGATGGCGGAATGTGGGGTGCAATGGATAGGGGGGGGCCTTTGGGGCTGTAATGGATGATATTGGATTAGTGAAATGGATCAAGTTAACTTACTGGCTGCAGCATCGGAGGTTTGAGTGAGGTAGTCCAATGAATGGTGTACTATTGATGGGAGAAGACGAGCAGGATGTCCAAGTCTGACAATGGGAATTTTGTGCGGAGCACTGTAATGAATCAGTATACAGCTCTTCGTTACTGACGAAATCAGAAGCTGTAAAGGAAGGATATAGCTTCATCTCAACCTCTAAGAACAGGTGTGTAAAACAAGAAGCCAAGGGACAATAACGTACAGCCTCTCAACAATATTATCAACCGAGATATTCGACGGTCCACAAACCAGAACTCTCAAATCACGTTTCAGCATCTGAAGAATAAGTTCTATCAAAGTATGCGTCTTCCCAGTCTAGCTCACAAATCAGAATTCTCCTTCTTCCTTGAGATGAGAGCAGAGGAGCCACTTACACCAGGCGGACCATGAATAAGAGCTATTTCTCTTGAGCCCAAAGCAAACTTGATCGCATCCTTTTGAGAATCATTCAGACTCGGATCAATCCACTCAATAGCCCCCGGATCCGAGACGGGAGAAGGACTCCCATGACCAAAGAGAATCCGAATGAAGCTTGAATACTCATCTTCCTTCATCTTCAGCAATCTAGTCATGGTTTGGTTCATTCTACATATGTACATCCAAATTAGCAAACCCACCCCCCAAAAGATCTTCAATATCAAAACAAGAAGCAGACAAGAAAAAACAAACCGTTTATAAGTAGCATCATTCGCCAACTTAACAACCCAAACCCTCCTCCCCCCCACCACCCCCT